ACTGCCTGTACCAGGATACCCAGTAGGTAGCTGATATCGCGCAGCCGCGTAGGTCTCAGTGGCCAGTAGAGATGAGTGAACACGCGGCTCCACAGCTGCAGAAAAAGAATAGCATCCTTGCCAGACACTTGATTCTATAACACACAGGACGTGTGTAAACAGGCTGCAAACTGATAAAATTTACTCCGCCTTTGCCGGTCCCAAGCCCGAATGAAAAAGGAGGAGGGGGAGCAGTAACAAGCTCACTAAAAAACCTGGGCTCAGCTGGCCCGGCTGATAGCACCCTGTAAGGGCTCCTAATCTAGGAATACAGGATGAGTCTGTACTCCATGTTAGGAGCGTCTGTTCCTCATGTCAGAGGTGGCCATTTATTTTGGAGTTAGGCCGGCCTGCCACTGAGTAGTGCTCATAGTCTTAATGACAAATGCAGATGCATTCTACTTCACCCAATCATGATGGTTGTCAAACAGACACCATCAACAAGCTCTACAAGCTTGATACACTAATATGATTGAGTGGAGATAAAGAAGAAGAAGAAGAAAGATAATAAGAGCTTCTAATATACTCAATTCACATCTCCATCGATAGACCTCCACAAGGAATATATCTATGTTTTAGAAGTTCTCCTCATAATGCCTTATTTTATTTTATCCACTTCCGTGTCTCTCCTGGAAGTGATCTCTCATTAGAGGCTGTGTTCCAAAATGATTTTTCAGAGATGTAACTGAATGCTCCTGAGAGATTTCTATCAATAATTTAGTTTAGAGAGAGCAAAAACTTGACAATTTTGTGAAGGAGACATGCTAATCTCTGTAGCATTCTGATTTTGGTAGATGTACCGAAGAACATGCAAGAGAAAGAAGGCTCTTTTCTTTCAAAATATGGATTTTTATATTTTATTTTATAATGCAGCCACATCTTTGCTGTAGGCAGGGAAAAAATATGAATGGTCATAAGGAAAGAGGCACAAGGTAATAAGACCAAATCCAAACAGCATTGTGAAAAACAACAAACTAAATGTCATTCAGTACTTTTGTCTGAAGATGGTAACAATGCTGTTACCAAAACATCACACACTATTTATTTGGATTTGGTCTTATTACCTTGTGTTTATAATATAATCCAAATTGTGCCTTATCAAGGAAAGAGGCAATTCTGACCAAACCTCATTGAACACTTGTTTTTAAAATTATATTTTGGACATAGATTCTAAGTGATGATAGACTTGGCAATAAATTCAAAGGTTATGTTGTTATCAGGATCAAGTCAATAGTATTTTATAAAGGTGTTTAGCCCATTAAATAAGTCATCATTTTTATTAATCCTCTATTGCATATCTACAGAAGGGAAACATGCAAATGAAGGTACGACAACTGTACCTGGATGAGGGCTGCAAATTTCAGGAGGACTTTCCCAGGGAAGGAGTCCGTGATGAGATTCTTGGCCATATCCAAGTATCCCATGTAATCCGCATGGATGAGGTCCTCTATGATCTTCATAAACCTGGAGGGGGGAAAAAAACCAAACAATTTCATTATTTATTTTATAGCTTGGAATGACATTTAAAAAAAAAAAAGAGTAAACATCACATCCACACTAAATGTTAATTTTTAGAAGAATGATGTTTTGTAATTCATATTATCTTTGTTTTTTTTCCTTATCCCTAGTTGTAGTGGCACAGGCCTTGATAATCATGGTGGATAGTAGTTGGCAACTGCTTTTATTGTAAGTACACCACATGTCTACACATGTGAAAAGCAGTTCAACTTTGTACTTACAAATGTACCAGAGCCCCGTTTGGTTACTTGCACTCAATGGTGGTGTTAGATTTTTGCAAGATTCGGGGGCCATTGGAGCATTTTTTTTTTTTTTTAAATTAGGAAAAAGTGCTTAATGTGTGATTTAATTCAGGTCGTAGCGGTCAAAAACCAATAGTTTAGACCACCCTTCCACCGACCCTATATTCTCTTTAAATATTTACCATTCCAATGGATAAAAGGTTCTTATTGAAACAAAGTAAGTTGAAGTATAACTAACTAACCAAATGAGACGAACTCACAGAAAATAAGAGAAAAAAAAAGAATTGATGCCTTTGAAATGTGGACATGGATAAAGCTACTCAAGAGTTCCATGAACAGATAAAAGAAGACAAAAATAAATCTATCTTATAAGAAACTAGCGGATGTACCCGGCTTCGCCCGTGTTTTACCCGAGTAAAGGTTTGTCTATCGAATCTCTCAATAAAGTGAACATTTTTTCCCGGTCCCTTGAAAAATACTCGATAAGTTGAATAAAATCAATATTAATCGGTACCCGAGTAAAGGTTTGTCTAACGAACATTTGTTAAAACAATTCTCTATAAACTTATAAAAAGAAATAGATATATTTTGATAATTTGAAACTCGTAAATTTGAATCTCTCGATAAAGTGATCATTTTTTCCCGGTCCCTGTGTGCCGTGTCATTCTGAATTTTGTCTTTCCTAATTTTCTACATTACAAAATCATCATTTTATCTAGTGAACATTTTTTCCCGGTCCCTTGAAAAATACTCAATAAGGTTGAATAAATTCATGGTCGTTTATGGAAGATGGACGAAGTTCCCGAAGGTCATCTTGGGCAAGCTCCCGCGAGGCTTTTTTTCTTGTCTACTTGGCACAGCTGTGTCACCAACTCTGCCCTGATTGGTCGGTGGGTACTTGGACTGTCCATCCGGCCGGCGGCCGGACGAATCCATTCTCTCGACGGGGTGGGGCAGACCTAAGCCTATCTCCGTCGCAAGGTGGCGCTGCTTACGAGTTAAAGCTACAAATCTGCAAATAACTCTAAGGATATTCAAGATATTCAAGAAATTATTTTTCAAAAACCTTTCCGGGGATATACCTAATAATATACCAAAATTTCACGGCGATTGGATGTATGGTTTTTGAATCTATAGAGGACACACACACACACAGACATTCATTTTTATATATATATAGATTTGAATTATTTTTAACGCATACAATACATTTTTTAATGCAGTAAAAGCAGTATAAATTTATTTTTAAAAATTGATAAGGCTCAATTTGGATTATAGATTATAAACACAAGGTAATAAGACCAAATAAATAAATAGTGTGTGACGTTTCGGTGATGGTAACAACGCTGTTACCGAAACGTCACACACTATTTATTTATTTGGTTTTATTACCTTGTGTTTATTTTTAAAAGATTCATACCTGGTAATAAAAAAAAATAGTTCAAATTTTTATATAGCAGATGGTGCACTAATGCATAATATAAATATCTATCTTAAATGAACTTAATCTTGAGATGCCTATATTACTGAGTGGTAGATAGCAAGGCAGTGAGCACTACGACTTGTGGAGTGAACCCAGGAGGAGCTCTGAACATCAGACAGCATCAAACAACACTAACAAGATTTAGAACAGGCCATTGAAGATAGAAAATAATAACAAAATCTATTCCACTTGCCCAAAATGTAGCTTGGCACATGCAGCTCCAGAACACATTTTGGCTTGCATTAGATGCACTAAACAGGACCTTTGGGAGAGGCCGCTGCTTATCATAAAACAGTTCGAGGAACATGAACTCATGGAATTTGTGTAATCTTTACACAAGGGGATAAGAAATAACAACACAAGAGAGCTACCAACTTGGGATTGGTGAGTAGTTGTTGGGGCTGGTGACAGAAATAGGGCACTACGTAGTGCAGGGAGTGGAGCACAGCCACAAACTGTCCCTCCTGGCAGAGCTGGTAGAGCAGTTCCATCCCCTTCTGGAGGATTCCTTCCATGCTGTAACCACATTACATCTACAGCTGTGGTTACATAGTGTGGGGAGGGGAGAGAGATAGAGAAGAAAATTCAACAGCACAATATTACATTTTAAGAGTTGACTAAAAAAAAAAAAACTTAGATATGAAAAAAAATATAGTATAATTGGAAATTATTTTATTATTATTTTTTTTTGCTTATTCCTAGTACACGTGGTACAACAGGCCATGGTAATCATGGTAGGTAGAATTAGACGACTGCTTTTACTGTAAGCGCACCACATGTCTACACATGTGAAAAGCAGTTTGACTTTGTACTTACAAATATGCCAGAGCCCCTTTTGGTTACTTGCACTCGCTGGTGGGGTGTTTGACTTTTGCAAGAATCGGGGACCATTGAAGCATTTTTTTTTTTTTTAAACATAAAAAAGTGTCCAATGCGGGAATCGAACCCGGGTCGTAGTGGTCGTAAACCAATGGTTTATACCAGCCGACCCCCTCACAAATGTGAAATTGTACTGGGATCAAGTTGGTAAATTACGACAAAGATATCTCCGGGTTGTGTAACTTATGATTAATCAAGAATGGGTATATTTGAACAATTCTGAAATAATTAAAAAATCAACAATTAGTTGATATTTATTCCGACAGATGGCGCAAACCATCAACAACTTTTAGTTGCCCGATCAGAAGATGCCATTTTCTTTATATATGATGAGTTACAGATAGACAAAAACTTGAAAAAGAAGAAAGTCTTTGATGTCGCCAATCGTCTATTTTTTTTAAGGAGATAAAGGCAATTTTGTTCACACTTATCTAGTGTGTCTTCAATAAAGGTCATTGTGTAACAAATATATTTCATAAGTACCACTCCTGTGGTGCACTTACAGTAAAAGCAGTCGCCAACTTCTTACCCCACCATGATTATCATGGCCTCTACCACGTGTACTGGGAATAAAAGAAAAAAAAAATCTTTTTTTTTTTTTTGCTTATCCCTAGTACACGTGGTATAGGCCATGATAATCATGGTGGGTAGTTAGCGACTGCTTTTTACTGTAAGTGCACCACATGTCTACACATGTGAAAAGCAGTTAGACTTTGCACTTACAAATGTGCCAGAGCCCTGTTTGGTTACTTGCACTCGCTGGTGGGGTTGGACTTTTACAAGAATCGGGGGCCATTGGAGCATTTTTTGTATAACATTTTTTTTAACAGAAAAAAAAGTGTCCAATGCGGGGAATCGAACCCGGGTCGTAGTGGTCGAAAACCAAACGGTTTAACCAGCCTTCGACTGACCCCATTTAGGCACATAATATAGTAGATATCTCGAAAACAACAAATAACACAAACCCCTATACATACCCGATATACACACACACACAAAGCTTTATTAGGACCACTGGTCTTATACAGAGATACACCAAATCCCGATATACATGCTAAAAGGTACAACCTTCTTAAATTTTGTCTATGAGTGTATTTCCAATAACCTCATATAAAGATGTTGTGCTCTAACATTATACACATGAGATAAGAAAGAAGAAGAAGATTATACACAAGCATCTTTAAAAAAAAAATACATTTTTTCTAATAAAAAATGTTTTTGGAAAGGATTATACCTGCGGCCCACTGGGGTGAGGAGTAAAGCAACGAAGCAGGCAGGGGTTTGATTGGAATCCAGTGGAGACAGCAAAGGTTGCATTTCTGGATCGGACTCTGGGACAGGTGGACCTTCATGAAGCTGAAGCCTGAAGAGCAGGTCCCAAGCCCAGCTGAAGAAGCCGGACTCTGAGTTGCCGTAGAAGAGGGTGTCCCTGACTGCCCTGGTGAGATGGCCCAGTCCCCACTCCAGCAGGCTGGCCTTGTCCGTGGCCTGGCCCAGCTTGTGGCAGGCCTTCACCACCATCATGGCTGCCCTGCGGTGGACAGGGTACTCCAGGGTAGGATGGCCATCCTGCAGCTCCACTTTGTTACATCCTTTCTACCTGATACAGCATATTAGCTGGAAGTGAATATTTTTAATATATAACATATCATACAGCTCTGTCACAGTGCAATGGCTTCCAGCTCACGTTGGAATTCCTGGAAATGAGCTGAAAAACTCTCTAGCAAAGGCTGGAGCTCTTGGCCTACCTGAAGCCAGGAAATCTACCACCCAACTAGATGAAAGAGACCTCCTCCGTACCATCAAAACCCAATGCCTGCAGGAATGGAAATCTAACACTGCACATGACTGGTACAGAGCAGGAGGGACAAGCACCAGTTCTGTCCTTCCAAGAGAACAACAGTCTTTGATTTCCAGACTTAAGTCTGGTCATCTACGGACAATGACTTTCCAGAATGGTTGCAAGGTTTTCCTACTATGTACTAAGTGTCAACCTGCAACCCTAAAGCACATCATTGACTGCATTTGCTTATCCATTGATGAGCTCTACTCATCCCCGGCAGACACCATCAACAAGCTTTACAAGCTTGATACCCTAATATGATTGAGTGGAGATAAGAAAGAAGAAGAAGATCATTGAAATTAAAGTGAAAATATATCGGGCTTACAGGGAAAAATTTCTTTTCAAAATCATTAATCTCTAGCTTTCAGGTACAAACGTCCTTTAACAGGAGAAAACATGATAAATTGCCAATAGAGTTTTTTTCAAAATTGAACAAAGAAGTTTTCATTTTATTTCTGTTCAATCACATAGATTAGCACAAACATACATATATGTTATAAATAAAAAAAGAATAGAGATTTTCTGCTTGAATTTAGATCATGTTGAAGATTAGTGTATGGAAATGCAGTCGTGGTTAAAAATCTTGAAATAAAAATAATAATGGTTTTGATCAGAGGTTGCTTTAATTGAGCTAAGGAATGTATAAAAGACATAATTTGGTAAAAGTAATGCCTGGCTTAAGGCGTAAGAATAAAAAAATGAAAAGCTTATTTACATAATGTACAAAAGTTTTGAACCGGCCATCGGGATAAAACAACAAAGAGTTTTTATAGGGGAAGAGTGACCTCTGGCGGTCGATTTAGCAGAGTATTTGAATCTATGAAATTATAATTTAAAATAAAATAATATTTTTATATAACATATATATATATTTAAAATACAATATAACGCGGCTGATGATTGTAAAACGAAAATTGAAATTATACCGCGAATGTTTCTTTTATAAAAAAATCGAAATTTATTTTCAAAGAGAAATAGCGACATTTCTAACTTTGAGGATGAGGTATGGAAAGGTGAAACATGAAGAGTAATGGCGAACGGAAAAATAAAAAGTGTCCAGGGGCGGGAAAAATACAATATAATGTTACTTTAAATATAAGTTACGAACGGAGAAATACGTCCAGGGTAGCCGAGTGGACAAGGCACCTGCCCGGTAAGCAGAAGGGTGTGGGTTCGTTTCCCGCCCCTGGACACTTTTTATTTTTCCGTTCGCCATTACTCTTCATGTTTCACCTTTCCATACCTCATCCTCAAAGTTAGAAATGTCGCTATTTCTCTTTGAAAATAAATTTCGATTTTTTTATAAAAGAAACATTCGCGGTATAATTTCAATTTTCGTTTTATATATATATATATACACTCATTAACAAAACTTGAAGAAGTTTCATATTTTGATGCCATCCATCATCTATTTATTGAAGGAAACAGAGACTGTTCACACTTGGTTATCTCATGTATTTTCAATAAAGGTCACTGTAATATCTTTCTGAGTTATTGTCTTAATCCCAAATAAACATATTAAAATATACTGATTCTTTAAGTTTTGTTCATGAGTGATGTAATATGGGCTGTAATTTTTTGTAGGCATAGCACAATGGATAATACACTTACTCTGGATCAGGTGATTCCAAGTTGATAAGCGTTTTTTATTTTATTTCAAGTTGTAAGGCTTTTTCACCCATAGTACCTTTTAATAACATGACATGTGTGTTTAGTCACTTGCTAAAGTCAAGTTTCAAAGTGGGAAAAAAATGTGGCCTTTTTTGTCCCCTTAATTTCTCTCTAGCTGGAATCACCATCAAGAATTATTCCAGATTTGAGATCTTGTCATTTTAAAATACAGTGGGGACCTTGTTAACAACAGCTTCTTTTATAACAGTATCTTGGTTACATAAGATAACAAAAAACAAAATCAATAAATTAGGGGTGACACATCCATGCACAATTTATTAATTTGAATTTGTGTGATATTGTAACATTAAGGTTTTCAAACTATTATCCTCAAAATAGTAACCTCAGTAACTTGGTACTTTAGAATTATAATAAGTTACTGAGGTTACCATTATGATAAAACACAATTTGGATTATAGATTATAATACAAGAAAATAAGACCTAATCCAAATAGTTTAATAGTGTACACACTATTAAATTATTTGGATTAGGTCGTATTTTCTTGTATTAGGTTACAATTAGTTTTAAGAGTTGCAATAGTGTTTTGACTGTATTGTTTCTTATCTGAAGTAAATGAAAAAATTGCGCTACAAATTATAAAAATAAAAATACAACCTTTCGCATTGAGTTTCTTTTATTATAAAAGAAACTCAATGCGAAAGGTTGTATTTTTATTTTTATAATTGATTCTTATCTCTTTAATGCAAAGATTACACAAATTCCATGAGTACATGCTCTTCAAGCTGTTTGATGATAATCAGCAGCCTCTGTTGTGTATGACATCATGAAATATCCTGGTTGTTATAGTGAGGGATAATCAATCCCCAAGCAGAAACAAAGTCATGTGAGGTGTAACATACCAGAAGAGAAGGTTGCCATACCTTGGTGCCCCAGGGGAGGTAAGTGAGCAGGTACCGGGCCAGCTGGTTGGAGATGGAGGATAGGGGAGAGTCAATCAGCCAGGTCTGGATGAGATCCAGGTCTTTGGAGGGAACAGGGGCCCAGCGATGGAGGGGAATGTTCTGGAAGATGTGGAGGGATAGCTGCCACACACCACCCTGGCTCACACACTCTGCTTCCATCACACAGGACAACACACTCAGCAATGTAGGGGGATGACAGAAAATAAAGCCCTCCAGGAATCACCAAGAGGTACAACTCCACCTTTGACAGTCTCAAGTCTGGAGGAGGGGGAGCAGTAACAAACTCTCTAAAAAAACCTGGGCTCAGCTGGTCCGGATGATAGTACCCTGTAAGCGCTCCTTATCCAGGGATACAGGATGAGCAGTGTCTGTACTTTATGTTAGGAGTGGCTGTACATGGCATCTGCTCCTCATGTCAGATGTGACCATTTCATATTGAAGTTAAGTCGGCCTGCTACTGAATAGTGCTCCCAGTCTTAATGACAAAGGCAGACTCATTCTACTTCACCCAGTTATAATAGTTATCTTTTGAGATAAGAAAGAAGATCAAGAGGTACTGGGAGATAGAAAGTAGTGGTGATACAAATCCCACCTACATGGTACAGCAGCCATGATAAAGATGGTGGGTAATTGGCAAGTGCTTTTACTTCAAGTGCACCACATGTCTACACATGTAGATAGCTGTTTGACTTTTGCACTTACAAATGTGCCAGATACCTGTTCTGGTTACTCACATTCAAAGGTGAGTTTGGACTTTGGTAAGATAATGCACAATTTGGATTATTCTATATACAGTTATGAGCATCATTCCTCATCAGTCGTCTCTGTCACCGTTTGCTTTTTTTTTTTTGGAATGGTGCCCTCCTATTGGTTGGCTACGGTCACGCCACCTTTGCCCCCCCCATCATGCCTCCCCCACTCGCTCTTTCGTTTTTGTAACTATTGTTTTGGAGCGGGTCGCTCTTTAAATAAATGCATATATTAGTTAATAACTAAATGGAATCCTCTCTTTCTTTTTCCCAGTAAGAGACGCCTACGGAAGCCAACAGTACATAGACAGATAAAGCACATAGGCTATAGTTATTAACTAATATATGCAGTTATTTAAGGCGCCAATTTATAATTGTAACAAATAGTATTTGAATAAAAACATTCAATCGGGTAAAACACGGGCGTTGCCCGGGTCATTCGGCTAGTAGATTATAAACACAAGGTAATAAGGCCATATCCAAATAAATAAATAGTGTGTGACTTTCGGTAACAGCGTTGTTACCATCTTCAGACAAAAGTATTGAATGAGAAATTTTACCACAGCATGGCGAAACACACTATTTATTTATTTGGATTTGGTCTTATTACCTTGTGACTTTTGTAAGAATTAAAAGCCATTGAAACTCTAAAAAAAAAAAAAAATGCCTAAAGCAGGATTCAATACCAGGTTTTGGCTGTCAAAAATCAACAGTTTATAACACTCCTCTCCGATC